TTTTTTTTTTTTTTTTGTCAAAACGATAGATAATATTATAAATGAAAATGCACAAATGTGTATTAGCCAACGGCTGAATACACAGCAGCCAACATCTGAAATAAATGGGAGAACAGGTTAGAAGACCGCCTAGAATCCCGACTAGCAACGCTAGAATAAAATACTCGCAGCTAAACTAAACCAACAACACGACTACCAAACACAAAACTACTCAAACAACTAAAAAGACTCCAACAGGGTAATATTTGAGTGTCGAATCCCAACAGAATAATAAGCAGACTCTCGGGCTCATAGGGGTCAATGGCCTAAACCAAAATCACAGTCCTAAACAACACAACAAACAAAACAGAAAATAAAGAAACTAAAAGCCACAAGCAAGCCCTTCCCCAGCTGGCAGACGAGTCTGGCCCACAGAGAACAATCTATCTAAGGAAAATCCAGGCCACAGGCACAGCTACCGAACTGCGAACCATTTCTTACTTTATTCATTGCTTTTGACTGTTTATGGAGAAAATGTTTGTTTTCTCTACGCTTGTGGTATGTATGTACTAAATACCCTTCTGTTGGAATTGTACATTGTCATTTGTCACATGCAAAAAATATTAGTATGTTTTTTAAAATGTAATTAACCTCGAAAGGGATGGTACTTGTAGTAGTCATGGTGGGCTCAATATTTTTAACTTGTTTATTTGACCCGTATAAACCGCCGCACTCAAAATCTATATCTATTTATCTATATCTACTATAAAAATACGAGTGTTTTTGTAAAAATACGAGTTGCCTAAAACACACTTATTTTGACATATTTTTAATTGCAAATTAATAATACACTAATATTCATCTCATCTTATATTTTTAATTAATAACTAATATTTACCTAAAAAACACTTTATTTGATATATTTTTTATGTCAAATTAGTAATATATTGAAACCTATTTAATATTTAATTAATTAAATACAATTACACAAATAAAATATTCCACAACTCTTAAAAATCAACCACAATATCTCACACCATTACTATTCAATTTAGGTCTTAGATATCAAAGATTGTCAGGGGTCAAAAAGAGAGATTCTTACTCTTGGATGTTGAAAGGGTGGTTGAATGTTAGGGGTTCTTTTGCATTAGGTCTTAGATATCAAGTGGGCAATGGGCAGTCTATTAAAATATGGGATTCTTCATGGTTACCAAACTCAAATGCTTTTAAACCCTTTTTGCTGTTTTGACAGTGATAAGCTCAACGTACACACAGTATCTGACCTCATGGTTGCAAGGGAAAACAAATAGGATACTGACTTGATTCTACAAATATTCACCCCCACTGATGCAGCTCTTATTTTGAATACTCACATCAGCAGCCAGAACTTCGCAGACAGACTTATTTGGCACACAGACAAGAAGGGGCAGTTTTATGTCAAAAAGACATACAAAGTTATCCATCATGCAAAAATTGGCAAATTTGAAATGGCTGATTCTAGCAATGACAGGAACAACATGCAGGATATGTGGCAGAAAGTCTGGAAGCTTCAAATCAAGCCCAATTCACAACTGGGTGGGAACTACATGCAGGATAAAGCATAAAGGAATGCATGTTGATGTATATTGCTGTTGGTGTGGAGCAGAAGAAGAAAGTTTGGAGCACCTCATATTTTCTTGTGAAAGAGCCCAAAGGGTCTCGAAGTTGGCAGGGTTGAGATGGAATTGCTTGCAGGACAATCAAACTACATTCCTAGACTGGTGGAAATGTCTTTGTAGCCTGAAGTCTTCTGCAATCAACAGGGCTAGGGTCTCTCTTTCCACTTAACTCCTCTGGTGGTTGTGGAAGACCAGAAAAAAAATGTCTGTTTCAAAATACTAGAACCACTGAACTGCAACTTGTTGAAGGGGCAAGATTAGAATGGCTGGAGTATGATGAGCTTAAAGTTGGTCGCAACTTGTTTAGAAAGGAGCGTGAAGAGGCTTGCACAATCCCAAACTCAGCAGGGGTACAAAAGTAGGGGAGATGTATACAGCTTCCAATGTTTCTTCATCTCAGCTTGAGTCTTGGATCATGCATGCGTCAGCCTATATAAATTCTTTAGTGGTGGCTTATTGGTCTCAATCTAGGGATGATTTTTCCAAGCATTCAGTGAATGATTCTATCCTAAGGCTCAGATCTTGGTTAGATAAAGGTTATAAGCAAGGATGGCAAAGAGTGGTGCTAAAGGGAAAGACAAAGATATTTTTCAGCTGCTCTGAGGCAAATCCTTATGCGCTGTGGAATTTGTTGTCCTTGTGGAAGACATTTGCACTTTGTTGCTTCTTTTCCCTGAGTTTGATCTAGTGGACTGAATCATGGTGACCAACCAAATGGCCCAAAGATTTTGTCATGTGATTAGAACAGGAACACTACTCGGGTGCCAAATGAAACGTTGGTATACTACGTAGAGTGCGCTAAACTGTGTTATAACACCAGAATAAGTAATAGCGGAAGCACAAACAAGATATAAAATCTCTAAGGGGAGCGTTCCGGTACCCCTCAGAGATCTTTCGTTAATAGAACGATTGTGCACATGTGTATAGTTTGGACTTTTATAACTAAAACTCCTTTCTAGCCTAGCCAACCCTATACTCGATCCTACCAACTATTTCTCTAGCCACGTCTTGTGGACTTTACACACTCGAGTGCCTCGTGCAAACCCAGTACTTAAGCCCTAAGTACTAAAAAAAGTTTCTGCAGAAAGTATGAAAAACTAAAGAAAACAATCGCAGTTCTTCGATGGTGTAAGAACACCGGAGAACTTAACTACAAAATAAAAACTAAGGACCAAAAAACTTGAACTCTCAATCTCAGCAACCTTCAATTGATCTTCAAGATGGGTACATAAAGACTCCTTAGGCGTGAAGTCTTCTTCAAGTCACATACCTTCTCTTTGTCATTTCCTTCCAAAACTTGAGGTTCAAACAAGGTAAGTAGATATTGCCTCCTTTGTCTTCCTTGATCTTCTTGTTAGATATATTTAGTTGCAAAGTTAGATATGTTTAGTTGCAAGGTTAGATTTATTTAGTTGCAATGTTAGTTGTATCTAGTTGCAAAGTACTGGATACATATTTACTTCATACATATTGCATACTAGGGGTCAACGGTCAACGTCGGAAGTCAATGGTCAACGTCAGAAGTCAACGGTCAATGTCGGAAGCCAACGATTTTCGCCGGAAGTCTACGGTCAACGGCGTAGTCAACGGTCAATGTTCAATGGTCAAAATAATAGTTAAATAACTAAAATAAATAAAATAAAAAATTGTCATTTAAATAAAAAGTTAAATATTGGTCACACATCTTGATACCCTTATAGTGGCTAGGATTGAGTCTCGTGTCCTCACTTTAACGTGGACTTATTGGAACCAATCCTTATATATATAAAATTCAGACATCAATAATATAGTATCTTATTGAAGGAAGAACGAATCTCATTGGTGTAGTGAAGGCAACAATCAAGAGCTAGCATATGTTCGAATTGTATGCCCGGGTGAGCAGATTGGGGTTGTTTGCTAAATTCAAGTTCCTGCACAACAATATAATTGTAACCAAAATTAATTTTCTAACTTAAATTAATACCACACAGGCCTATACAACAAATAACAATGTGTATGTGTATTCGTAGACGACAATTCTCACTTATAGTTTAGTTTGCCGTTTGTGAAGAGATTCGTGAATGCATCGACCGGTTCACAACCGCTCAAGTCGTTATCATTCAGCAGCCTATATAACCTCACAGAGACACAACAACACAATTATGTCGTCTAATATATATATATATATACCCAAAGTTGTATATATTGCAGACTCAAAATTAATGATCAGAATGAAATAATTGAGGTAGCATTACTTACAGAGTTGTCAAATTCAACAATTTGCGAATTTCCGACGGAATAAGTCCGCTCAACTGATTATGGGACAGATCCAAAGTTACCAAATCAGTCAAGTCTCCAATTTCCGGTGGTATGTTCTCAGTGATTCCGGTCTTGCTCATATTCCTATCCGCCACGGTGAACAAAAAATCAATACGAAATTATTAGTGTGACATGTGCAAGTCAATTTGATTGTATATATACCATTCTCTAATAAGAATAATGCTAATATGTTCAGAAAAATACATCACCAATGTGTGCATGCCACATAAGCGGTGGACATATTAACATGTGTGCACCGTGAATAGAGTAGCATTACTGTATATATTAATGCCAAACAAAAAAAAAATGAAAGTTACATACAAATATTGCAAGCTTTTAAACTCTCCAATCTGCCATACCAATTGACCACCTCTTAAATTCATACCCTCGAGTGTACTGACAACAAAAAAAACAAAGAATATATATGAATTTCAATCGGCATTATTTGGGTTAGCTAAGTAACACCTCAATATATCTATATATATATGTTAGTCATATTCTTACAGCTTTGTTACACGACGGTCGTTGCAGTAGACACCGGTCCATTTACAAGGGTTGGTACCACGGTTCCAGTTCGACAAAAGACCCAAACGATCATGTAAGCTTTCCTTAAGGGCAATCAAAGCATCAACTATCAAACATAAACATTGGGAAATTCAGACGTAGAAAGCATCAATATCGTTTTTATGCACAAGCAAGTAATTTGGAATATGCACCAATTCACTAGCTATCAACGTCGTGCAATCAATATTCTCAGAATTCTTCAGTTAGTTTGACGAATGTACGTGCGCATATGGGAAATTTCGATGAATATAATGTGCTATAAAAGATTAGGGGAAGATGATCATGTCTAGTATTCTGCAAGAAAATTCTTTAGGGAAAATATGTTTAAATGATGTAAATAAAACAAAAGCATGATGTGGTAATAAAAATAGCTTAAGCATAAAAGGATATTACAAACCATCGCTTTCTGTATAGGTATAAGCGCCTTTGAGAGGATTCAAAATTACGAAGAAGGTTAACCACGCTAGCACAGCCACCATTGACCTCCCTCCAATTTTGTCGATCATCTTCTCCGGCCGACACCTAAGTACAGATGTATTAACTGAAGAAGGATATTACTTATAGTAGACTAGTAGTTGTGTTGATCTCTATGTTTTTTTATAGTCTCGAATAAACAATGCACCCCAAGCAAAAATCGTATTTTTTCTCGAATTTCTCGTTGAGAGGTAAAGGATTAAATCCTTTTAAGACTCAAGCAAAAATTGTCAAAAATAGAATTGTTGACTTTAATAATATGCCAAATCCTAATTGTTGACTTCTAAAGATTTGGCCTTACATTTTGTTTGAAAGTAAATTATATATCATGTTTAAGTAAATCATAATATACCAAAAGTTCAATCAAATGCAAAACAATTTGTGGAAATTGACAGGATATATGGTCTTCTTTTTTTTTCAAACAAATTTATAAGTATTTGGTTTTATCTATTTTTTATTTTATTTTTTTATTTCGTTTTGCTTTGTCTTGATTATTTCTAATATACTTTGGGGTCAAATTTAGATTATGATGTGCTTTAAATCTATTGTGCGCGTGACTTGTGGGAGACAATCATTCTTGACTTTATTCATTGATTTTTTTTTTTTTTTTTGGTACAGGGACCTTCCGGTTCCTGGATCCACAAGAGAACCGACTAATTCGGAATCGAGTCGGGTAGGACCACAAGGGCGGCAAAGCTCTTCCTCAAGAGTTTTAACACTGTTGCATTCCCAGGGCTCGAACACGAGACCACTGGTTAAGCTGGAAGAAACTCAAGCCATCTCATCAAAGCGCTCCTGGGTACTTTATTCATTGATTTTCACTGCTTATGGAGAAAATGTTTGTTTTTTTTATTTATACTTTTTTGTTTCAAAAATTCTTCTGTTTGGAATTGTGAATTGTCACATGCAAAAAATCTTTTTAAAAATGTATTAACTCAGGAAAAAATATTATTTGTAGTAGTTGTGGAGATCTCTTTAGTTTTAACCCGTTTTTATAAAACTGGATAAACCACCTCATGCAGAAATTATTAACAAGGACTTGTTAACTTTCAAATTGCCAAATCCTAGTTGCGACTAGTGCTGTTAAATTAAACGAGTCTGGCTCGGCTCGATTCGAGCTCGGCTCGTTAAGGCTCGAATTCGGACAGGTCTCGGCATGGCTATCTCTTCCTCTCGGTAGCTTGGATAGCTCGATCAAATGTCTCAAATAACTCACCTCGAAATGGCTCGAATGGTGACTTGGATGGCTCGTCTCGTAATGGCTCAAAATCGTGAATATGAACAATCGTTCAGACAATAACTCGCTTTCCTAATTAACACAAAAAGAGGCAAGAAAATACGCCGGAATGCAAAAACACAAGACGAAAATGATAAAGCACGACAAAATGGACCTGTTGAAACAAAAACAAACCTAAAAAGACTCGACTAAGGCACATAAAATACAAGAAAAACACCACAAAAACATAACAAACAGAAACATCAATTATGTTGGTAGGAGTTAGATGAATTGATCGGTACTATCAATGTTTTAAGTTTGGGGATTTCGTCATGTGTGATTTTACACCATATTTATTTAGTATCTAGATCTTATTCATTGTATTATTTGTGCATAAATTGTATTATTGTGCTTTCATTCTATATCTTGTTTTGTTGGAAAGGTATTACACATGCTTGTTTTGTAGATATTTGCATATTTTCATAGAGCTTTTGGCTATTGAAGGCACATGATGAGTACCTAAGACACCCTGAATGATGAAAGATTGATACAAAGATGAAAAAATTAGAATAAACGAGTGAACAAGCAATAAGTAGTGTGCAAACTTGTGATACGTACAGTGACACAAGCATTATGCCCGTGTCAGAGCCCGTGTCACACCAAAATTGAAATTTTGAAGCTTTACACGTGACACGGGCAACGACACGACCAGTGACACGGGCAAGATGGTCGTGTCGCGTGCGCGCGCATGCTGTTTTTTTATTTCTTGTCTATTTTGAAAATGAGAAGGCTTTAGGATGGTATAAAATGGTATAATTAACGTATATTAAGAGGAGAGAACATGAGAAACCAGAGAAGGGACCATAGAATACACAAGAGAAGCAATTGAGAAGCAAAAAGAAGACCCAACTACGAAGGAATCAATGAGATTCAGAGACCGACGAGATTTCTAGTTTTTCTTTCTTTTTTTTCGAACTTTTATTTATCATATCGATTTTTAATATGTCTATGTATTTGATTTCGAAAATGAATCAGTAGTTTATTTGATTCTAGGACTTGGTAGTAGATTAATATGTTGAGATTTTGGATGTATTATTGATTGTTTTCTTTTGAACCATACTCAAATATTTTGTTTTTATTTCATGTTTAGCACTTGATCAATGCTTTTACATGTTTGACAATATTGTTCATAATTCGATAGATGAGTTCAAGATTAGGTTTTAATATTTGACACAGTATACTTGCTTCAATCGAGAGATTAGTAGGTCGTTGTAAGGATATTAGATCTTTTGGTCTATTTGGAGTTGATTTGCATTTGTTGAGTAGGAGCGCTAATATATGTGACTTAATTTACGATTTTATTGATCTCAAGATGGATGGTCTATATCTGTGATCATCTTATAGTGTAGATAAATGAAATATTTAGTTGTGATATATTTTAAGAAACCTAATTGTTAATTGAAACCATAATTTTAGAACCTCTCATTCTCATATATTTGTCTTACGTGCCTTTCTAGCTAATTTCTTGTTCTTAATTTATTATCTTTTGATTATATTTTCTTATTTTAGTTAATCTTTCTAATATTCGGTCGTCTAAATAAAGTTGACATTATCATAGTCCAGTACTTGATATATTGAATGTTTGGTCTCTTGAGATATGATCTTAATTGTCACATACTACGAGCGAGGTCCTACACTTGTTGTCGAGCTTTCAAAACATAGACAAACAAAAATTGTCTAGCGAAAGAAAGAAAAAAAAATAAAAATAAATAAAAAAAAATAATCTAAACCATCATTTATTTCACAATGAACTACGTAGCAATCCAAATATTCTTTTTATCTTTTTTTTTTATCCAATATTTAAAGATATACACCTAGCAGTCTTATATTAATTTTCTGCGAGCCACAGGGGCTTCCACTGCATATTCCAATCAAGTAAGCTGAAGTATGCCCATAAATAAATTATTAAATAATTAAAAAAAATGTTCGTTTTAAAGAACAATTTCACAATCAGGTTGAAAAGATGAGAGAATTTTTGTTCTCATAGGAGGAAACAAGAAGATTGTTCTGTACAACCCAAACCCAGAAAAGTAAAACAAATACAGGAGCTCGTCGGCTGTCCAAAATATAGGGACTCTACTTCTTTAGCGATGAATCCAATTTTGTTTTTTTTTTTTCATTTTTCGACTCATGGATATTAAGTCGGTTACTGTCAATCATCGAACAATAACTCCATGCTACAAGTTGATAGAGTTGGACACAAATCAGAAAATTTAAGAAAACAAAATCGTAACGAAACCAATTTACATGATGTACAGTCTCCACGAGTTCTGTTTTTTTCTTTCCTCAACTGTCACGAATCAAATTTGTGGGCTCGCTCAAGACATATTTCGGCAACTCATATTTGGCACCTGAGATAAGATTCCGGATTTATAGAAATAATTCCACAAGAAAATTGATTATAGGAAAAACATAGTAGCCCACAAACCTCTCTCATCATAACAGATGGTCAAATCGGGATTCTGAACGATAACACCGGCACTGTCCACGATTGTCTGTGCAAGAGTCAATTCAGCCTCAGCAGCAGCCCGGAGAGCATCCCATATTTCTGATGAAAATTCAATTGTCAGAAAAAAAAAAAGAAATATATATATATATTGAATAAGAAGAAAAACAAAATCCTTAGTTCAAAATTTGCCAGAGTATTACAACAGTCCCAGCACACATCAGAAAACATAAATACGACTAAAATTAACTTTTAAATTGTCAGAAAATGTACAAAAATATTATACTAAGCTTACAGATAATTTAATTGACAACCCAGTATTGAAAAAGTAAAACAATACTAAATATAAATATGTGGCATGTGGGGCTTAAGAATGTGCTACTGCAATATTCTTATTCAGCTTAGTTTCAGGATATTGATCACTGCAAGGGGACAGTGAAATACTCGATCCTTACCGAGCTTCAGGTACAACAAATTACAAAGGCAATTATCTTGTGCATACCTTTTCTACCACCATAATGTGGAGCAGTGTCCCAAAATTCCTCACGCATCTGTGTTAGTTGTGCCCGAGTTATTGCTTCTGTATGCTTCCATGGCTTGGGTTTCCGGATCTTCTTAGGATTTTCTGAGTTCAGATAAAATGAGGAAAAAAAAACAAGGGCTCAATCAACGAGCCAGCAGCATCAAGCATTCTCTGTGAATTAGTTTAAACAAGCAACATATTTTTCAAGATATTATCTAAGCAACCCAACCAAAATCCTCATTTCGCGAAATTTCATAGATTTAGTATATTTTGCGATAAGTTTCAGATTTCTGTATAGTTAAAATTGAAAGTCCTGTAAACTTCTGTAGAGTTTAAACTTGAGTTTCAGATTTCACAAAAGAAATACGAGCCAAGAATTATATAAAGATCATGGAGCATAACAGATTTGAGTTTGAATTGGTTCAGAAGAAATGTCAAGTCAGGACCATGTTTCTCATTAAGAAATCAAAAGAAAAAGGAAAGATGGTTCTTGGGAAACCATAAGCTATCAGTTTCAAAGTAGCATAGAGTGCAAGTTTTTCGGCCATTCACGAAGATACATAATAAAGGGCCAAATAATTCCAAAATGAAAAGCTTGACTTAAAACAGAAATCATGGAAGAGAATCAACTCACGGATGTCAACTGATCTTTACCTACCACACCGAATCTATCTTGGCCTTTTATTCATTGATTAATTAAAGGTTTCACACAACGACCGGGAGAAAGAAATGGTGCCCAGAAAAAAAAACAAAAAACAAAAAACAAAAAATAATTTCAAGAATACAATCAAGTATTCAACATTTCACGAAGAATGGTAATTGCCAAAGACCAAACCCAACAAAAATAGACTTCCAGTATCACACACAACTGATTAGCCAGAACAATCAATTAATAGGCCAAACCAGCTGCACGAGAAGTCATCTGAGACCTCAGGTACATTTGGGAGTTCCATGTCTGTTGAATTTATAAGTTTCCACATCTGTTCAGATGCTCAATCCACATACTTGTACAAATAATCAATCTTCCCTTTCTTTCTAACAGGCTAGTTCCGTTTAGTTTTCACAAAACGACGTCCCGAAAATTGAAAACAATCTCATTAAATCATGTCTGTTAAACCGATACCAATCTTGATAGCCAATAATTTATCCAGCATCTGAAAAATGCAACACCAGTAATGTAAATGGTAAATACAACTAAAAATGACAAAGAAATTCAACCAATATCATGCCTTTCATTACTGCTATACAGGTGAGCATTAGCTACAATCCATAGCTCATTTTACCATCAATTTGATATACATAAACTCATCCAAACAACGAAAAGGAGAGGATTAGAAACACCTCTACAGACATAACCAAAATCATTACAAGGTACAAAATTCAGAGGAAAACATATCAAACTATGATTCAACCGTCCTAGGTAAGGAAAACAAAAGTGTCGATTAACCCTAAGATGAAATGCATAAGAACAATACCTTCACTAATTATTACTCGAACAAATTCAAGAGAAAAAAAGCCCAAAAACGAAAGGGAAAATTGGTACCGTCTACTTTATCACGCGATCCAGCGCAACCCATACTGCGGCGTTCGCAGAATTTTCTCCGGTCAGAGATTCGGGGACCGGAGCTCGATGACTCAAGTGGAAAATCGGAAACGAGAAACTCAAGACTCAAGAGTCCAATATATTTCAACGATCTGTAGAATTAAATAATAAGGAAAAGAAATCAATGACGTTTTCGCCTACTGGTTAAGAGTGAGTACCGATGGCCAGAGGTCATGAGTTCAAGCTCCCCGAAACGTAGATGGTGGAACAATTAATATTGAGGGCTACAAGCGACAGTGTGAGAGGCTGAAACTCGGTGAGAACCAACGGTGGGATAGGTAGGGCCAGCGTGAAGTTGGGGGGCCAGCATAAAACAACCACTTCGGTGGGACCCTGCGGCTGGATAGGTGAGGCCAACTTGAAGTTGGGAGGGTCAGCGAGCAATCACTTGGGGATCGACTATTTGTGCTCGGTAGTTGAGGGTGTTAGGTACCTGGGAGCTCCAATTTAACTGGATGTAGTTTCTGAGGGGCCGGGGACTGTTTTCTCGAGGAATAGTCAGGCGCAAGCCTGGAATCTCGATATCAAAATAATAATAATAATAATAATAATAATAATAATAATAATAATAATAATAATAATAATAATAATAATAATAATAATAAGGATAAGAAAAGTAACAACGTTAAAATATTGGTCTTTATTCAATTGAATAGTTTTATTGGGAACGTTATATTATTATTTGCAAATATGTGAGGACTATTAAATGAATTATTTTTTATAGACTCTGTCCAATATTTAAAAATCAATAGAAGTATGGTTTGATGTGATGCAGACAATGCTTCCACAGCAACGCCAAGGATATTTGATGAAGATCGTGTATCCGCTCAACGTCATTCAATTTGGATATCTAATGAAGATCGTGTATCCGCTCAACCACATCTTCATCAATATCAACTTCATCAAGGTATTTGTTCAATTACACTGATAACTCCTTTGTTTATGACACTATAGTATCATTTTCATTTGATTCATTGGTTTTTGGTTTGCTTTCTTTGTGCTTGTGCAGTATCGTTGTGTTGTGGGTTCATGACCTTGAAGATGACTGCTTTGGTTCCAATTGTGTAGCATCTTAGTTTTTTTCTGTTTAGAATTCAATATGATGAGAATTATGGTCCTAGTCTTACAATTATCATTTGTTCAATGAACCATTGGATTACGATTGTGGATCGAGTTTTGTGTTTGAATATGGATTTTCACGAAATGTCTTTCAATCTCTTTCTACTTTGTCACCAAAAATTATAATGACACACTTAAAAAGTGTAATGTATTGAAAATTACAAACAATACAATTTCGTGTTAGAATAATCTATATTAATGACACTATAAAAAAAGCGTAATTCATTGGGATATACCGACGCTAAAATTTTATGTCACAACCGTAATTATAATGACGTGCTAAAAAAGAGTCACTCATTGAAAATTACTTATCATAATATATTGTGTCACTAAATTATGTAAATAACGATGCATTTTTTAAAAAGTGACCCCAAATAAAGATTACCTACGCATCTTGGTTCAGTCACAAATAAATTCGTGACATCAAATTTAACGACGCAACTGGTGACACTTTTGCAAGTGTAGGTAAATTTATTTGTGACACTAATAAGTGACCGAATAAAAAATAAGTGTCTCTAAATACAATTTTTGTTGTAGTGGTTGTAGTAGGACGAACACTTGCTTTAATAAAAGAGTTCTGAAGGTAGAGTGAGATATTCTCTCAAAGGTTCAATTTGTTGTGTGAACTGCTCCACATTTAAGTGAACATTCATTGTTTACTTGTTATGCTCAATTTTGTAACTCTCTCAAAATTTCATGTTCTTTTATGAATATTATGTGATTATGTACTGTTAATATAAAATACTTTATTATTTAAATTTGTTGGACAATATTATTATGATTTAGGGAAGTTTATTAACCTTTAAATGATTTTAAGAAGAGTTTTCTCAATGAGTGACTCTTTTTGTTGGGGTAAGAAACCCCAATAAGGTCATGCTGAAGTCACGCTCCCAATCCAGTGGGGGGTAGGAAATCCGATGTAACCCGACCGACGAGTAAGTTGCTAGGCTTGTCATATGGTCCTCCGCGAAGTTAGCTTCCCTATGAACGTGTTGAATCTTAACGCTCCATTCGTCGGATTTCCTTTAAACATCCATTGTAGGAATGAACCACATTTATATTTTATACCAACTTTCGTGCACATAGGATCAGTATTTTAAATACCAAATTATGTGGCACCCGTGCGTCACGATTTTTACATAAGCGGCTCTTGTAGACGCTCATTGCCATGATTAGTGTTATATAAAGTAGAATTCACCATAATGGTACTAAAATATTAATTCCATAAGACTTTTGAAGAATCTAATGACCACTACAAAATATTACATTCTTATTTAATGAATTTTCAAATTTATGTACTAATTCTGATATTTGCCAAAAAAATGGAACTTTGTTAGAAAATAGTCAACATAACGGACTAAAACTGATTTTTTTTCTCACATCAAATACCATGCTATACACAAAATCACATTAACCAAACCCCAACAATAAAACTATAAAAGTGCATATATATTATATATCAATCAATATATAAGAAAGAAAATGAAAATTTCCAATACAAGAAAATGAAGGAAAAACCATAGTATTTTTTTTTTTTCCCAAACGTATAAATTTTATTACCACACCAAAACAATGTACAAACCCAATCAATAGATTGGACTCAATACATACCCTCCACAAAATACAATACAAAAAGCTTAAAAGGGATTACCATAACCAGCAATCCCTACTCTAAACAAAACAGCAAAGACAACTATACAATACATACAAAAAGGAGTCCATTATTTATTTGTTACATTCATTGCTTACTAAATTGTTTGCTATTGAATACAACTTAGAAGTTAAGTTGGCTCATAAGTCATAACTCATAATACATTATTGATGAACTGACTTTTCCCATTTTAAGGTACGTATCATACTTTAGTTGTTTACTAAATATTTTATCTTTGCTTTTTTTTTTCTTGGGTTTTGATTGCTATTTATTAATTTTAACATGGTGCTTTACCTTAGTTGTTTACGTGATATTCTTTTAGTCTATTCATTCTCTCTATTTTAGTGTAGTTGAAAAATAATGTACTATATTATTCTTTTGGCAAAAATTCAAAATTGGTCCTATAATTTGGCCATTGTCCAAAAAACCACCCCTATATTGACCACTTTCAATTTAGATCCTATAATTTGTCGATTTCATCAATTTTGGTCCTTTTTTATCTGTACCCTGAATTAAAAAGTGACGTGGCATGAAAAAAGGACCAAAATTGATGAAATCGACAAATTATAGGACCAAAATTGACGTGCCACGTAGATCATAATCACGCCATGTA